ACCTGCACCCACCCACCCACCCACCCACTCACCCACCCACTCGCCCACCCACCCGCCCATCCTGCTTACAGAGCAGCACGTGGGAACGGTGCTGGGTCGCTTCGTGGTTATCGCGTGGCTCTTTGTGGTTCTCATCGTCACCTGCAGTTACACTGCCAATCTTACCTCCATACTCACTGTTAACAACCTCACTCCTCCCGTTCAGGTATGCTACTTACCTTTCCAGCAGGTTACGCACACTAGTTGTAAGGTTCGTGTTGTGTACAGTACATGCACAGTAGTATCCAACCTTATCTAACAGTATTTAAAACATCTCAAATCCATCGTTCCTCGCAACTTGCCGCTCGCTCCTCAAACCCCCCAACCCTCCCTCCCTGTGACCCTCCCTCCCCATTCCCTGTGGCAGCAGTGGTCTGATCACATCGGGCTCCGTGGTGGGCTATCTCAACGGCTCTTGAGGCATATTGACGTCTCAAACCTCCCGCCCTGCTCCCTGCCTCTCCCTCCCTCCCACCCCTCGCCCCCACCCGTCCCAGTCCCTGGCAGCAGTGATCACATCGGGCTCCGTGGTGGGCTATCTCAACGGATCCTTCTCCGAGCAGCACCTGCTGGGCTTTGGCGTCCGCAGAGTGAGTTCTCCACCTCAGGGCTTTCAAAGGCGCCTAAAAAATCGTTTTGGCGCGCGCAGCAGAGTGAGTCCCCAGCCTAAGCAGCTCTCAATGCGACTCTCGAAAGTCTACTCATCAGGCTCAACGGATCCTTCTCCGAGCAGCACTGCTGGGCTTTGGTGTCCGCACAGTGAGTCCCCCCCTGGCCACTGGCCAGGGCTCAATGCGGTGCCTTTTGAGTCGTCTCGACTCGCAAGTCACCTCCTCGTGAGTCGTCTCAGAAGGCTCAGTGGCTCCTTTTCCGAGCAGCACCTGCTGGGCTTTGGTGTCCGCATAGTAAGTCCCTCCCTGGCCACTGGCCAGGGCTCAGTGCAGTGCCTGAGACGTCTACAAAACTCGCAAGTCATCTCCTTGTGAGCTTTGAGACGTCTACAAAACTCGCATGTCATCTCCTTGTGAGCTTTGAGACGTCTACAAAACTCGCAAGTCATCTCCTTGTGAGCTTTGAGACGTCTACAAAACTCGCAAGTTAGGCCTCGTGGAAGTGTCGTTTGAGTCGACTCAAAAGTCACCTCGTGAGTCCACAGCCGTAAGACTCAATGCAGTTAGGCCTCGTGGAAGTGCTTTCGACGCCTCACTCACTCACTCGTGCTACACTGAGGCGCCGCGCCTCAGAAACAATTGGCGCGTAAAAGCACTTGTTGCATGCCCATGTCTGAGTCACTTTTGAGAATTCTCACTCACTCGCTCTCACTCCATCCTCCTTGTCTCTGTCTGCCCCCAACAGAAGCAGCTCCAGGCGCGCTAACAGCGTGGACGAGTGCACAGAAGCCATGCTGAACGGCACCATGGTTGGAGTGTGAGCGGTGGGCTGTGAATGGTGGGATGTGAACAGTGCGCCTCATGCCACTGACTCACTCCCACTCCCTCCTCCTCGCCTCTGCCCTCTGTCTATCCCCTACAGAAGCAGCTCCAGGCGCTAACAATGTGGAGGAGTACGCAGAAGCCATGCTCAATGGCACTGTGTTGGGCTGTGAACGGTGCAAGCAACACTTGCTACTCACACACACTCCTTCCTGCTCCCACACTCCTCTGTCTCTCCCCAACAGAAGCAGCTCCAGGCACTCAACAGCGTGGACGAATATGCGGACGCCATGCTGAATGGCACCATGGTGGGGGTGGTGGACTGTGAGCACTACGCACCTCATGCTGCCCACACTCCTTCCTCCTTCCCTTTCACCTCAACAGAAGCAGCTCCAGGCACTCAACAGCGTGGACGAGTACGCAGAGGCCATGCTGAATGGCACCGTGGTGGGGGTGGTGGACGAGCGTCCCTTCCTCGACCTCATTCTCTCGCAAGACTGCACCTTCACCACGGGGGAGGCAGACATTTCCACCCTCGGATGGGCCTTTGTGAGTGGAAGGCACCCACCCACCCACCCGTGTGTTGTTGCGGTTTCTGAGTTGGTTAAAGGAAGAGCTTCGTGGACGAGCGTCCCTTCCTCTACCTCATTCTCTCACCTTCAACACCGGGGAAGCACACATTTCCACCCTCGGATGGGCCTTTGTGAGTGTGTGGCGCTTGGTAAGAGGTGTGTGTGTGCGATCTGCAAAGCGCGTGACCTTCTCCAACCTTCTCCAACCTTCTCCAACCTTCTTCAACCCCCTCCAACCTTCTTCAACCCCCTCCAACATTCTTCAACCCCCTCCAACCTTCTTCATCCCTCTCCAACCTTCTTCATCCCTCTCCAACCTTCTTCACGCTTCTTACCCCTCTTGAACCAACCCTGCACTCCTCGCATTCACCAGGCCTTCCAGAAGGGATCAAATCTGGCCGTTGATCTAAGCAAGGCCATCGCCCAGCTGAGCGAAACAGGCCAGCTGCGAACCATCCACAGCAACTACGTGCCTGTGAGTGGCTATGGACTTGCAGTAAGCATGGGTGCGCCTGTGAGTGTCTATGGACTTGTAAGCATGGGTGCGCCTGTGAGTGTTGACAGGATCTTGAGGGGAAAGGTGCGTGTAAAGGGTGATTCACCAGTCTGTAAGGGTGATGTGCCAGAAAGGGGGTGATTTGCCAGAAAGGGGGTGATTTGCCTTCAGGGTTTTCGAGAATATGTTTTCTGCTTCCATCACCATGCTAGTCTGAGCTCAGACTGCTTCCATCACCATGCTAGTCTGAGCTCTTTCTTTTCGTGCTTCCACCTTGTAGCACAACCTAGCATGCAGTGGGCAGGGGAGCGGGTGGGGCGTGATTTGATTAGGGAGCCTGGAAGCGTCAGTGGGGGACAATGTCAGACTTTTGAGGCGCCTCAGTGGGAGACAATGGGAGACAACGAATTTCAGTTGTCAGTTGCATCTTGTTCCAAACGCCTTGCTCCCCCATCCCCACATCTCGACACAACCCCCCTCCCCCCCCCCACAGAACAACCTGACGTGCAGTGGGGACGCAAGCGGGGCGTCATCGGATAGCCTGGGAGCAGAGGGCTGTCACGGCATGTCATTCGGAGCGGAGCTCATCCTTGCACCACCATGTTAACCTGACCTCTTCACCTTCTTGCCCCCGCCCCCTGAACCTCCCACAGAACAACCTGACGTGCAGTGGGGACGCAAGCGGGGGGTCATCGGAGAGTCTGGGAGCGGAGGGGTTTCAGAACCTGTTCATCCTGTACGGCGTCATGGCCACCTTCGCCTGCCTCATGTACCTCGCCGTGCTGCTCTACCGCGGCCACCTCGCCAAGAAGCAAGTGTTTTCTTCCCTTTCTTTGTTTCTCTTTCACACGTGACTGAGAGGTATGTGGTGTGCCTTGAGGAAACACCGCACCACATCACGCCACCTTCGCCTGCCTCATGTACCTCGCCGTGCTGCTCTACCGCGGCCACCTCGCCAAGAAGTAGGTTGTCGTGCTGCTTTCTTCACTCCTGCCTGGGAGGAGGTATGGCTTGTGTCTTGAGGGGCACCACAGCAAGCCACCTTCGCCTGCCTCATGTACCTTGGCGTGCTGCTCTACCGCGGCCACCTCGCCAAGAAGTAGGTGGTCTTGCTGCTTTCTTCACTCCTGCCTGGGAGGAGGTATGGCTTGTGTCTTGAGGGGCACCACAGCAAGGCACCTTCGCCTGCCTCATGTACCTCGCTGTGCTGCTCTACCGCGGCCACCTCGCCAAGAAGTAGGAGATTTTCCCTTTTCTCTTTTTTTTCCTCATTTCCACGCCTGCCTGAGAGGTATGTTGTGTGGTTTGAGGCGCACCACACCTCCCCAAGCCACCTTCGCCTGCCTCATGTACCTTGGCGTGCTGCTCCACCGCGGCCACCTCGCCAAGAAGTAGGCCTTTTCCTGATTTTGTATTCACGCCTGGCCTAGTGGTGTGTCATGTGCTAAAAGGAGCGCCATGGACTGGACGGCCACCTTCGCCTGTCTCGTGTACTTTCCCAGAAGAAAGCCTTTTTTTTTTTTTCTTTTTCTTTTTTTTTTTCCGGCCTGGATTCTCTTATGCACGTCCCTCCTCACATCATCGTCTCCATATATTTGGTCTCTGCGATAGTCTTGTTTTGAGTCGATTTATCTGGTCTCTAAGATAGTCTCTTAGCCCGCCATCCCGGCCCGGTTTCAGAAATACACCTTGAGGTCCATTCCGGCCTTCTTAACTTCTGCATTTCTTTGCGCTCTGTTTTCCTGTTCCGCCTGGTGGTGTTACGCAGGGAGTTGGAGGAGGAGGGAGAGGAAGTGAGTGGGGGCATGTCTGCAATCAAGGCGAAGCCATGGATGAATCCCTTCAAGCACGTCATCTACCTCTATAACCTTGTGAGTGCATGTACTCCTGCAGTCATGCATGCAACCCTGCATGCGCTCATGCATGTGGTCTTGCATGGGCTCATGCATATTGTCTTGCATGCGCTCATGCATGTGGTCTTGCATGTGCTCATGCATATTGTCTTGCATGTGCTCATGCATATTGTCTTGCATGTGCGCATGCATATCGTCTTGCATGCGCTCATGCATGTTGTCTTGCATGTGCTCATGCATATTGTCTTGCATGTGCTCATGCATATTGTCTTGCATGCGCTCATGCATATTGTCTTGCATGCGCTCATGCATATTGTCTTGCATGCGCTCATGCATATTGTCTTGCATGTGCTCATGCATATTGTCTTGCATGTGCTCATGCATATTGTCTTGCATGTGCTCATGCATATTGTCTTGCATGTGCTCATGCATATTGTCTTGCATGTGCTCATGCATATTGTCTTGCATGTGCGAATGCATATTGTCTTGCATGTGCTCATGCATATTGTCTTGCATGCGCTCATGCATATTGTCTTGCATGCGCTCATGCATATTGTCTTGCATGCGCTCATGCATATTGTCTTGCATGCGCTCATGCATATTGTCTTGCATGTGCTCATGCATATTGTCTTGCATGCGCTCATGCATATTGTCTTGCATGTGCTCATGCATATTGTCTTGCATGTGCTCATGCATATTGTCTTGCATGCGCTCATGCATATTGTCTTGCATGCGCTCATGCATATTGTCTTGCATGGGCGAATGCATATTGTCTTGCATGTGCTCATGCATATTGTCTTGCATGTGCTCATGCATATTGTCTTGCATGTGCTCATGCATATTGTCTTGCATGCGCTCATGCATATTGTCTTGCATGTGCTCATGCATATTGTCTTGCATGTGCTCATGCATATTGTCTTGCATGTGCTCATGCATATTGTCTTGCATGTGCTCATGCATATTGTCTTGCATGTGCTCATGCATATTGTCTTGCATGTGCTCATGCATATTGTCTTGCATGTGCTCATGCATATTGTCTTGCATGTGCTCATGCATATTGTCTTGCATGCGCTCATCCGTGTGCCAACTGCTGCCTCCCGGGATCGCCTCTTGTGGGATCTACTCCTTTCCATAATGCATTCGGTACCTTTTTGTGCCAATGTGTTGTTTTTTCAGGGTGTGGCATGGAGCATTGCACGCAATATTGAGTGTGACGACGAGCCATTCTATGAAGCTGACTCGCAGATGTTTGATACGTATGATAACCAGTCAGAGTTCACAAATGGGACTGACGAAGGCCCAAAGCGAGATATTGACCGTTGATTGGAGCAGCATCCGAACGTGCTGTCGTCGCAGGCGTCGGTGCGTCGGTTCTCCTGTTCTTGCTTATCTATTGCTTGTATTGTTTCACGCGTGGCACACCTAAGCTGCAAACAATACTCGAGTTGTTATTTCAGTCGATGCTTTATCCGGTAGCTTTTGCTGTGGTGAGCTAGTGCTCAGTCTAGTGCATTAACAGGCCTGTGAGCCAATGGTAAAGGTAAAGGAGGGGGGAGTAACCCCCAGTGCGAAACCCCATTCTGGGGGGCTGGCGGAACTCGCCGGCACTTGGGTTTGATCCCGCAATCTCATCCTTCGGAAGTCCCATTCTACTTGACTGTGCCACTTCAGGATGGGTAATATGCTATGGATGTACCATGCCCTCAGATATGCTTTGTTTTGATTCCTATTACAACTAACACTGTAGCTTGTAGGCAAAGCTTCTCGTGTATCGTGCTTTCTACTACATGGATAATCCTAAATAGTCTGCGTCTGCTGCCTTCCCAAACCAACCTTTCCAAAAAGCACTTTCGGCCAGACTACACCGGTCCGTCCGACCCATTCTCGAGACCTCCTCGAGTAGCCCTAGCTTCTCGTGTCCTTGAAACTGCCGACAATTTAGCTGACTGAAAGATCGCAGGTCGTACTTCCGTAATACCCAGCCACCGTGCCTGTCGCACGACATGGCGGCTGATGGAGATCGGAAAGAGAAAGGAAAGGGCAAGGGTATCAAGGTTAGCAAGAAAACCGCAGCTGTGAAACCCAAGAAGCAGGATCGCGAAGGCCAGCATAGCAAACCGAGCGACGACGATTCTCGTCCACGTGGCAAGCAGAGCGAAGGGGGATCGCGTCCACGTGGCAATCGGAACGAAGAGGGTTCGCTTCCACGTGGCGGCAGTCGAGATGCTGCTGCCGGAGAGATCTTGCCCGCGAGATTGCTGCCGTCGCAGATTAAGAACAAGCAGAAGCGGTCGGCAGTGACCGCGAAGCTTCGCGCGGAGAAGGAGAAGGGGAAGAAGCAGCGGCTGAAGCGGCGGCGGCAAGACGAGGAACGCGCAGTGGCGTTGGGGGAAGCGGTAGGTGGGGGGGAGCGGTGGTTGGGGTTGAAGGCGCAGGTCGGGGGAAGTTCTAAGATAGGCGTGCGGGGAAGGCAGTGAGCACAGAGGTTTCTCACATGACGATGATATGGGTTATACTTTAGCCTCGCCAATCGCTGGGTTTCGGGTCTCGGGTTTGGGGTTTATAATTCAGATCCCCTCATGATATGCCCTTCTTTCCCCTCATAATAAATTGTCCAGATACCCGCTTTCTCGTCGTCATTGTGAACCCTGCTTAAATCTTAAACCCTCGCAGGCCCCACCACGGAAGGCAGCTCGCACCATCGACAGCACGCGGGAGGTGGACGAGACTATAGCGCAGCCTGACGACGACGAGGTGACTATAACGAGGAATTCCGTGTGTTTGGCATTGTACTGAGGTGGGTTTTTTTTATTCGTGTCCTGGATTGATTCACGAGTCAAGACTATAACACAGCCTGACGAGGAAGAGGTGGTTATAACGAGGGAGGAATTGACAAACGAGGAGGAGGGGGAAGGGTTGGTGGATTGTGAGCGGGTCTGGTGAATCGTGGTTTATGTGGATCATGCGGTGTGAATTGATGATAAGCATTACAAAGCCTCGCAACGTCTCTGTCTCCTTCCTCCTCCTCTTTACTCCCCCACTCTCCTCCCTCTCACCCTCCCCCTCCTCCTCCACTAGCCCCCATGGCAACACAGCTTCACCACACCTTAATTGTAGTTGATTTTACCATCACTTCCTCCATTCTCCTCTCCATACTCCCTTCTTCCCCCCCTTCCTCCCATGCATCGTAACACCACAGTTGCATGCAGACGAGACGAGGCACAGGACGAGTTCGCTCCGCACTTTTTTGAGGTGCCTCATGAAGAGAAACACCGTCCCCCCCCACCCTTCCCCCCCTTCCCCCCCTTCACCCACCACCACCACCCCCCCCCCCCCCCCATGGCAACACCACCACAGTTGCATGCGGACGAGGCACAGGACGAGTTCGCTCCACTCCACACGTGATTTTAAGGTGCCTTGTGCACAGAACTTCCCCCCTCCTTACCCCCTTGCCTCCCTTCTCACCCACCACCACCCCCCCATCACAACTCCACAGCTGCATGCAGACGAGGCACAGGACGAGTTCGCCCCGCACTTCAACCGAGAGAGGCCGCCCAAAGTGCTGATTACCACGTGCCAACGGATACACCAGGTAAGGCTGCTTCCTTCTGCAATAGCTTTTTGTTTGTTTGTTTGTTCTTTGATGTTTTTTCCTTTTCCTAGAGAGGCTGATGCCATCAAATAGTGTGGTGCTGCAACAGTGTCATTTTCTACACTGCCTGCCTGTCCTTCACCCAGTTTGTTTTTCATCATCTGCTTGCCTTACCCTGTTTCCGTCATTGTCGATTGCCCCCTGTTGCATTCCTTGATCGCAGGCAATGAAGCAGTTGATAAAGGAGCTTTTAGTGGTCATTCCGGGATCGGAGTACTATGAGAGGCGGCAGTATCGCATTAAGGAGGTGCGTGTGAGGCAGTAGGGGAGGGCATGAGTGTGTGAGGTGCAGGAAGAGGAGACTTCGTGTGTGTGTGTGTGGTATTAGGGAAGGTGCATGTATCATTCCAGGGTCGGAGTACTATGAGAGGCGGCAATATCGCATCAAGGAGGTGCCTGCAGTGTTGCTCTATCTCAGCACTCTTCACTTTCCCGTCATTTCATTTCTCTTTGATCTCCGTCTCTGGTCTTTTTACTGAAAAAAATACTAATAAATAAAAAACCCAAGTACTGTGGATTGCACACCCCTGTCCCTCCTTCCCACTTGCCTGCGAGTGCAAATTCTGCAGTACGCATTGACACGGGAATACACAGCTACAGCACAACTAACAACACCTATCCCTCCCTCCCCTCGTCTTGCCTGCGAGTGCAGATAGTGCAGTACGCATCAGCGAGGGACTACACGGCTGTGATCGTGATCAACGAGAATCGAAGCAAGCCAAGTGGGTTTAGGAAACAGTTTTGCTTTGGCACAGGTTTTGAAAAACAGTTTTTGCACTTGCTTTGGGAAATGGTTTGGCACAGTGCAAAACTGTTTCCCAAAACATGTCTCTGTTTTGCACACAGTTTCTTCTCTGTGTTTCTGTGCGCTGTCCCAGACCTAGCCAAGTGTCGTGCATGCATTCATGCATTCACCCCAATGTTGCGCGTGCGTGGGTTTCTGCTCTGTCGATTTGGAAGGGTTTGAGAGCGCCATTTTGCAACATGCCTGTATCAGTCCCTTCCATCTCTAGTTTCGTCTCTAGCTTCCTCCCTAGCATCGACTTGATTTTTGTCGACTCAAAAATCAACGTCGTATGGGGTGCATTATCCGTCCCACTCCCCGACCTACATCCCCTTCCCTCTACCCCCTTCCCAGATGCACTTATGCTCATCGGCTTGCCAGAGGGCCCCACTGCTCTCTTCAAGCTCTCCAGCCTCGTCCTGAGGAAAGACATCAAGGTGAGAGAGACAGGGGGCTTGAAGCATAGGTGTGAGCTGCAGGTTTCAAATCTGGAACGATTTGGGAGAATTCTCAAAAATCGCTCACAGGGGCGAGCGGCATCGCATCTGCTTTTGAGTCAACTCAAAGGCGAGCAGCATTGCATCTCCTCACGAAGAAGGGTGTTACTGAGAAACCCTTAAAATAACATATATAATATTTTATCTTCCTTCCTTTCTCCTTCTTCCCTGCCCCTCCTCTCCGCCCCTCCCTCCACTTTCAGAACGCAGGGCGGGCAACAGGGCACCTCCCAGAGCTCATTCTCAACAACTTCTCCACACGCCTGGGCCACCGGGTCGGACGGTGCGTGTGTGGGAGTGTGGGAGGGTGTGGGGAGGGGAAGGGTGGGGTGTGTCTATGTGTGTGTGTGTGTTTGTGGTGTGTATTTGTGCATGCATGTGGGCGGGCAACAGGGCATCTCCCAGAGCTCATTCTCATCAACTTCTCCACACGCCTCAGGCACCGAGTTGGACGGTTCGTATGGGTGGAAACAGGGAGGGGGATAGGAGGACGTGGATTGGGAAGTGGGGAAGGGTACGTGTGTATGTGTGCCTGTGCATGCACGTGGGTGGCCAATGTCCCATCCACCCGAGCTCATTCTCAGCAACTTCTCCACACGCCTGGGGCACCGAGGGGACGGTGTGTGCAGGGGGGATGGGGGGAGAGAAGGGTAGGGTGTGTCTATGTGTGTCCGTACATGCGTGCGGACAACATTGCATTGCATCTCCCCAAGCTCTTTATTACCAACGTCCTTACATGGCTTGGATATCGTGCGTGTGTGATGGGGAGGTGGTGCTGGTATCATGTGTGTGTGTGTGCGTGTGTGTGCATGTGTGTGCGTGTGTGTGCATGTGTGTGCGTACGTGCATACGTACATGTATGCTGATGACAAAGCCAACATTTAATATTTCCATTTTACCTCATTCCCTTCCCCCCTCCATTTCCGCTTGCTACATCTTCCCTCCTCCATTCTCATGGCATCTCTGCTCCACAGGATCTAGAATGCGCCTTGAGTCCACTCAGAATCACTTCAACTTCTAATTGACTCCTCTTTCCCTTTCCCGCACCTCTCTCTCCTGCCACCAGCCTGCTGGCCTCTCTGTTTCCGCAGGACCCAGAGTTCAAGGGCAGGAGGGTGGTCACCCTGCACAACTCTGCCCCCCACCCCCTTACTGCATTTCACTAGCCTACTGGCCTCTCTGTTCCTGCAGGACCCAGAGTTATGCACTTGCATCACGACTTCTGACTCCCTCCGTTTTCCGTTTCCCGCATCTCCCCCCCTCACTCCACCAGCCTACTGGCCTCTCTGTTCCCGCAGGACCCAGAGTTCAAGGGCAGAAGGGTGGTCACGCTGCACAACCAGCGCGATTTCATTTTCTTCCGCCACCACAGGTGCGTGGTGTGGTAACACACACACAGGCACACACATGCGCGCTCGCGCACACACACTGTATGAGTGAGTTTGAGTGAGTTTGGGTTGTACCAATGAAGCTGGAGTTCAATGGCAGAAGGGTGGTCACTCTGCACAACCAGCGCGGTTTCATCTTCTTCCGCCACCACAGGTGCGTGGCGTGGCACGCACACACAGTGACACAGACACTGTTTGAGTGTGAATTGTACTGATGAAGCTGGACTGGACTCGAGGGTAGGAGAGTGGTCACTCTGCACAACCAGAAGGGTTTCATCTTATTCCGCCACCACAGGTGTGTGGTGTGGTAACACACACACACACACACACACACACAAACACACGCATACACACACACACACGCGCGCGCGCGCACACACACACACACTCACTCACTCTCTCACACACACCGTGTTGCTCACACGCTGCATTGCATTCCCCCCCTCGCACGCACCAGGTACATATTTGAGGATCCGGAGAGGCGGGACGAGTCGCTGGGGTTGAGAAAGAGTGTGGTGTGAGTCGACTAAGAACATACCAGTCACCATTCAAACATTGCATCTTCCCCCCTTCGCATGCACCAGGTACATATTCGAAGATCCGGAGAGTAGAGACGAGTCGCTGGGGCTGAGAAAGAAGAAGGCGCGGGAGGAGAAGGAGAGGGCGGGCATGTTGAAGCGCAAGAAAGCAGCGGAGGCGGCAGCAGCAGGGAAGAAGACTGGCAGCGTGGGCGCATCGCTGGGCATTTTCACTCGCCTGCAGGTGGGAGATGAGAGATTGAGGGGTGGGAGGTTGATGGTGAGATGAGGTTGGACGGGGGATGGTGAGATGAGGTTGGACGGGGGATGGTGAGATGTAGGGGGGGCAGCAGCGGCGGCAGCAGGGAAGAAGACTGGCAGCGTGGGCGCATCGCTGGGCATTTTCACTCGCCTGCAGGTGAGATACGATTGTGAAGTGGGGGTTTCAACGTGCGTGAACCCAAACAAATTCGTGGTGTCTCTCTCATACCCAACATTCTAATCCATGCAGGTAAAAAAAAAAAAAAAAAAAAAAAAAAAAAAAAAAAAAAAAAAAAAAAAAAACTACTGACACGCATTCTCTCTCCCTCTCAACTCCCTCCTGCCTCCTCTCTCCTCCGCCTCTGTGAGTGCAGGAGTGTGGCCCGCGATTCACGCTCAAGCTTATGAGTGTGCAGCGGGGCACGTTTGACTCCAAGGGAGGGGAATACGAGTGGGTGTATAAGGTGAGTCCATCAATGCCAGCACAGGTTCAGTTCAGTCCCCTGTACGAGTGGGTACAAGGTGAAACTAGTACTTCATGTAAGAGTAAAACCTCACTATGTGCACCCATGAACTGCATGCGAGCAAAACCTCATCACGTGCACCCATTCCCATTGCACGTGGTTTGGATCTGAAGGTGAGGGGGGAGGTCTGTGAATGTGAGTGTGTCTATTGAACAAGTGCTTTGGTGGGAAAAGGTCTGCAATGGAGTGCAATGGGAAAGATGTGCCTTGAGGTGTCGTGCATTCTCTTTCCCCATTCCTTTGACCCTTTGCCCACCGTCTGTCAGCCTACGGTACCCTTTGTCGATCCAGACCTTCCCACTTCCCACTTCCCCACGTCCCTTCCCTTTTTTTCCATTGGCAGAACGACATGGACACAAGCAGGAGAAGGTTCTTCCTGTAAAGGCTTCAGATTCAGACGTCCAGTTATAACCAACTTTCAGTTACAAGGCTCTAGCCAGCCCCAGTTGGAGGAGCCTGCCGATGAAGAGTTGGCCTGCCCAGTCATCCCTTATGATGCATTTGGAAATTTGAGATGCCATTGTCAACCTGAAATGCTGCTGATCCTGACGAATGTTTGCATTGCCTCAAATGGAACGTGAGATGAAGATTCTGGCTGGCACTAAATGGTGGCACCAGATTGAAGTGTATTTCGAAGCTTGAATGGCCCAACCCAAACACTGTCTACCACATGCAAGCCGCCTCAGAACTTGCTGTATTCCGAGCTTTGACTGAGACAGGACACTTATACCGTAGCAAGCAAGAGGTCACAGATCAGTGCCGCCAGCACTGCAATTCCATAGCACAGGGAGGAAAAGACGAATTCCCAATAAGTAGGAGCCACGCTATGCATGAAACTCATTCAGACCCACCCAGTGCTTTCAAAAGGGTGAAACTAAAGCTCTTTATCGCCACGCTACGCAACAACTTCCTTGCATTGCAACTGCTTCGCGTCTATTTTCCTTCTGTCATTTTCTCAGAGCAACCGCAGCTGCTGGTTCCTTTCAACTGCTTACCAACAACCTACTCCCTCAAAACCCCCTCCTACTGCTTCCTCTGCCTTTTGAACCGCTCCAATGCTCCCAGCGCCGCCTCCTTCCCTTCATCCTCCCCTCCCTTCTCCGCCGCCTCCCTCTCTCTCTTCGCCATCTCCTCCGCCTTCCCAGCCAGGGCCCCAAACACCCCTGCAGGCACCGACACCTGCGTCACCCCCACCTTGCTCCTCCCCTTCCCCTCCCCTCCCTCTCCCTCTCCCTCTCCCTCCTCCCCTTCCTCCTCATCCTCGTCCTCATCAGCCAGTTCAATCTCCTCTGGGTTTGCCTGTTGGGACTTCACCCCTGCTCCTGTCTCCTGCTCTTGAACCGTCCCCCCACTCACAAACATGGGCACGCGGGGTTTCGCTGCCCCATCCCCTGCTCCTCCCACTCCTCCTCCTGCTGCTGCTTTCCCAGCAGCCGCCTGCTCCAGAGCTTCCATGCTATCCATCCCCCCGCCACCAGCAGCAGCAGCTGGGGCGTCAAGTAAGCCTTCCCCAGATGCGCCCTCCTTGCCCCGGCCAGTATCACCTTCCCGAGGCACGGAGGGGGTTGACTTCATGAGATACTCAGGGAGAATGAAGTACATCTGTGGGCGTGGAGAGGGGTGAGATGCGGTGGGGATGGGATGAGGGGGCAGAGAGAGAGGGCAAGGGCGAGACATGAGAGGAGGGGGTTGATTTGTTCATGGGGAACTCAGGCAGGCAGGATGAAGTGCATCTGTGGTGGGGGGGGGAAAGGGAGGAGGTGGGAGGAGGGCACGGGGGTGCCAGTGCCAGGATCTCAAACAAGTTCCACGCCCCCCGGTAACTCCCCATCAGACTGCGGGCCTCCGGCATTCCCGTAACCTAACAACAACCCACCGGCCTGTAGCACCCACCGTGCTGTGGCACCAACCCACCTGGCTGTAGCTGGCCGAAACGGATCGCTTGATCCTGAGCATGTCGCGAAACGTGTCCTCATTCCCGTGCGCGATCTCAAACGCGTTCCACGCCTCCCAGAACTCAACGTCGGACCGCGGTCCTGCAGCATTCCCAAACCCTACACAACCCACCCGTCTGTAGCACCCACCCACCCGCTTGCAGCACCAACCCACCTGGCTGTAGCTGGCCGAAACGGATCGCTTGATGCGCAGCATGTCACGGAACGTGTCCTCATTGCCATGGGCGATCTCAAACGCGTTCCACGCCTCCCAGAACTCCCCGTCTGACTGCGGTTGCCTAGCATTCCCTAAACCTGACAACCCATGTACCTGTAGCACTGACCTAGCTCACACCCGCCTGTAGCAGCCCCACCCACCTGGCTGTAGCTGGCCGAAACAGATCGCTTAATCCTGAGCATGTCCCGAAACGTGTCCTCATTGCCATACGCGATCTCAAACGCGTTCCACGCCTCCCAGAACTCCCCATCCCACCACGGGTGCCTAGCATTCCCGAAAACCCGTCTGTAGCACAGCACCCACCTGGCTGTAGCTAGCAGACACGGATCGCTTGATTCGCAGCATGTCACGGAACGTGTCCTCATTCCCATGGGCGATCTCAAAAGCGTTCCACGCCTCCCAGAACTCCCCGTCGGACCGCGGGTCCGCCAGCTGGCTGGCGTGCACAAAGATGGCTCTCGCGCGGTCGATCTCCCCCAGCCGCCTCTCCAATGCGGCATACCGCAGGCACATGCGCTTCACATCCGCATCGGGTAAACCAGACTCGATCGCCCGCTGCAGGGAGGGAGGGGATGGGGGAGGGAAAGTGGGGGAGGAGGGGCGGAGGAGCGGGGGAAGCAGGGGGAGGAGAGGGGGAAGAAGAGGGGGAGAGATCAGTGGACTGCCTCCCCAGAACTCCCCGTCCGACCGCGGGTCTGCGGGCTGGCTGACGTGCACAAAGATGGCTCGAGCACGGTCGATCTCCCCCAACCGCCTCTCCAATGCGGCGTACCGCAGGCACATGCGCTTCACATCCGCATCTGGTAGGCCTGACTCGATCGCCCGCTGCAGGGAGGGAGGGGATGGGGGAGGGAAAGTGGGGGAGGAGGGGCGGAGGAGCGGGGGAAGCAGGGGGAGGAGAGGGGGAAGAAGAGGGGGAGAGATCAGTGGACTGCCTCCCCAGAACTCCCCGTCCGACCGCGGGTCTGCGGGCTGGCTGACGTGCACAAAGATGGCTCGAGCACGGTCGATCTCCCCCAACCGCCTCTCCAATGCGGCGTACCGCAGGCACATGCGCTTCACATCCGCATCTGGTAGGCCTGACTCGATCGCCCGCTGCAGGGAGGGAGGGGATGGGGGAGGGAAAGTGGGGGAGGAGGGGCGGAGGAGCGGGGGAAGCAGGGGGAGGAGAGGGGGAAGAAGAGGGGGAGAGATCAGTGGACTGCCTCCCCAGAACTCCCCGTCCGACCGCGGGTCTGCGGGCTGGCTGACGTGCACAAAGATGGCTCGAGCACGGTCGATCTCCCCCAACCGCCTCTCCAATGCGGCGTACCGCAGGCACATGCGCTTCGCATCCGCATCTGGTAGGCCTGACTCGATCGCCCGCTGCAGGGAGGGAGGGGATGGGGGAGGGAAAGTGGGGGAGGAGGGGCGGAGGAGCGGGGGAAGCAGGGGGAGGAGAGGGGGAAGAAGAGGGGGAGAGATCAGTGGACTGCCTCCCCAGAACTCCCCGTCCGACCGCGGGTCTGCGGGCTGGCTGACGTGCACAAAGATGGCTCGAGCACGGTCGATCTCCCCCAACCGCCTCTCCAATGCGGCGTACCGCAGGCACATGCGCTTCGCATCCGCATCTGGTAGGCCTGACTCGATCGCCCGCTGCAGGGAGGGAGGGGATGGGGGAGGGAAAGTGGGGGAGGAGGGGCGGAGGAGCGGGGGAAGCAGGGGGAGGAGAGGGGGAAGAAGAGGGGGAGAGATCAGTGGACTGCCTCCCCAGAACTCCCCGTCCGACCGCGGGTCTGCGGGCTGGCTGACGTGCACAAAGATGGCTCGAGCACGGTCGATCTCCCCCAACCGCCTCTCCAATGCGGCGTACCGCAGGCACATGCGCTTCGCATCCGCATCTGGTAGGCCTGACTCGATCGCCCGCTGCAGGGAGGGAGGGGATGGGGGAGGGAAAGTGGGGGAGGAGGGGCGGAGGAGCGGGGGAAGCAGGGGGAGGAGAGGGGGAAGAAGAGGGGGAGAGATCAGTGGACTGCCTCCCCAGAACTCCCCGTCCGACCGCGGGTCTGCGGGCTGGCTGACGTGCACAAAGATGGCTCGAGCACGGTCGATCTCCCCCAACCGCCTCTCCAATGCGGCGTACCGCAGGCACATGCGCTTCGCATCCGCATCTGGTAGGCCTGACTCGATCGCCCGCTGCAGGGAGGGAGGGGATGGGGGAGGGAAAGTGGGGGAGGAGGGGCGGAGGAGCGGGGGAAGCAGGGGGAGGAGAGGGGGAAGAAGAGGGGGAGAGATCAGTGGACTGCCTCCCCAGAACTCCCCGTCCGACCGCGGGTCTGCGGGCTGGCTGACGTGCACAAAGATGGCTCGAGCACGGTCGATCTCCCCCAACCGCCTCTCCAATGCGGCGTACCGCAGGCACATGCGCTTCGCATCCGCATCTGGTAGGCCTGACTCGATCGCCCGCTGCAGGGAGGGAGGGGATGGGGGAGGGAAAGTGGGGGAGGAGGGGCGGAGGAGCGGGGGAAGCAGGGGGAGGAGAGGGGGAAGAAGAGGGGGAGAGATCAGTGGACTGCCTCCCCAGAACTCCCCGTCCGACCGCGGGTCTGCGGGCTGGCTGACGTGCACAAAGATGGCTCGAGCACGGTCGATCTCCCCCAACCGCCTCTCCAATGCGGCGTACCGCAGGCACATGCGCTTCGCATCCGCATCTGGTAGGCCTGACTCGATGGCCCTCTGCAGGGAGGGAGAGGGAGCATGAAAGAATATCGAATGTGAGGAAATATTCCCCCAGGCGCCTCTCCAATGCCACGTACCGCAGGCACATGCACTTCACGTCCGCATCTGGTAAACCAGACTCGATGGCTCTCTGTCGTGGGAGGAAGGGGATGGAGGTGGCGGGAGGAAAGAAAGGGGATCAAGAGGTGAAGGGACATCTCCCAGCCGCCTCTCCGGCGCTGCATACCGCAGGCACATGCGCTTCACGTCCGCGTCTGGTAGGCCCGACTCGATGGCTCTCTGCGGGGATGGACGGGGGTAAGAGGTAAGGGGATATCTGCCATGCACCTCTCTCCGGCGCTGCATACCGCAGGCACATGCGCTTCACGTCCGCGTCTGGTAGGCCCGATTCGATGGCCCTCTGTGGTGGGAGGGAGTGTTGAGGGATAGTAGAGAGGGGGGGAAGGGGGAGGAGGAGGAGGAGGAGGAGGAGGAGGAGGAGGAGGAGGAGGAGGAGGAGGAGGAGGAGGAGGAGGAGGAGGAGGTGGGTGGAAGAGTGGAGTGGGAGAGGTAAGGGGGCGTGAAGGAGGTTAGGTGGGAGTGCATTGCAGGGACAAACATTATGAACCAGGGGAGTAAGAAGGAAGAGGGAGGGGGGTAAACATGGACAGCAACCACACTCCACCTCATTTCACCACTTACAACCCAGCTTAGCCTCTCCACTCACCTCGTAGATATCCCGTGTCTTGGCCACTCCAAACAGCTCAGCAGCACGTGCAATGAACAGCTCGTACACGCCCATCCGCTGCTCCTCTGGCACTGCCTGTGCTGCTCGCTCATACACGGCCATGGCGTGCCGTGCCAGCCCATACTCCTCCTCCAGCCGTGCGTAGGCTAAGTACAGTGGCTTGCAGTCTGTCGCTGGGGCCTGGTGTAAGGAGGGGACAAGGAAAGGGGAAAACGAGGAGTGGGAATGGGTGACAAAGGAGGGAGGAGCCAGCAGGCACCGCCTGTACTGCGCGCTCATACACGGCCATGGCATGCCATGCCAGCCCATACTCCTCCTCCAGCCGTGCATAGGCCAGATAGAGCGGCTTGCAGTCCGTTGCTGGGGCCTGGAGGGGGGAGAAAAGGAGTGGGGATGGAGAATGGGAATAGAAATGAGTGTCAAGGTACCTGCTGCTGTGCAAGCGGGGAATTCGCTTGCGGACCTTCACTGTAGAATGGAAAGGGAGAAGGGAAGAGGGGGATGGGAATAAGAAATGGGAAGTACCTGCGCTTGCTCCTTGTAAACAGCCGTGGCAGTGGAGAAAGCGGAATGGACGGAGCACAGGGAACGCAAAGACACTCAGAATGAACATGAAGAGGTACACATAGCAGGCTTAGTGCAAGAGAATAGAGAACAGTGAACATTCTAAAATAAACAAACAAATTGCACTCACACTCTCCAGAGCCTGTTCGAATAAGTCTCGAGCCCGCTCCAGCTTCTTCCCTCCATAGCGCTGAACGAACTTGGAGAGGTAGGTGGTCCAGATGTCGCGCACGTGCGGGTACTTGAATATGTTCACCCCGCGCTCGTACACCTTGAAGCTGTCCTCGAAATACTTGTGCTCCTGGATCGGGTTGGACCGACAGGTGCGGCACAAGGGTTGAAAAGGAGGCACGGAAGAATCGAAAATGTAAGAAAAGTGGGTTCAATTCAAAACTGCTTGCTGTACCCCGTGAAGCGGTTCATAGTTCAAAGTAGCTCAAAGTTAAGGATTTCGGGTTTGCGCTTTGAACTTTGATGTACGCCCTTTGATGCGTATCAAAGTTCAAACATAGCATACCACTTCATGCGCCAGCAGCCCAGTAGCCCACCTCGAGCATGGGCGCCTAGTTGATGATGATCTGAGCTGTAGCGTGCCATGCCCTGCCCTCCCCTCCCTTTCCTACGTCTGTCCTTACATGCAATGTCTCAGGACACGCCAGGCCCACCCCGCCTCCTACCCACCCACCCCTTTCCCACCCTCTCATACTCACCTCGAGCATGAGCGCGTAGTTGATGATGATCTGAGGCGTGGCGATCTTGAGGTCGATGATTCGATCGTACACAGCCCTCGTTGACTCCAGAATCCCCACCAGCCCCATGCTCTTCCTCCCCTATGCTCCTTGCCGACCCCTCCTCCTGGCTCTCCCGCACCCACCTCTGACTCAGCAGGATGTCTCTCACCTGGATCTGCCACCTCACCTCGAGCATGAGCGCATAGTTGATGATGATCTGAGGCGTGGCGATCTTGAGATCGATAATGCGATCGTACACAGCGCGGGTGGTCTCAAGCGTGCCCAGGCTCTCCTCCAGGTCCACGTACAGCGTCCACACCTTGAGGCTCCGATACACCTTCAGCTGCGGCCTCTCGTCTCCCTCTGCAGCGGCTGTTTGTGCGAAAAGGGGACGAAATAAGGGACATTCAAAGTGTTAGGAATCCCCACACCAGGCTCTCCTCCAGGTCCACATACAGCGTCCACACCTTGAGGCTCCGATACACCTTTAACTGGGGCCTCTCGTCTCCCTCTGCGGCAGCTATTGATTCAGAATGGGGGGAACGGAGGGAGAGCAAATGCTGTGATATAGAACGATCAAGGTCCTCTTTTCAAGGTGCCTCAAACATACACAGGCTCTCCTCCAGGTCCACATACAGCGTCCACACCTTGAGACTTCGATACATCTTCAGCTGAGGCCGCTCACCTCCTTCCGCTGCCGCTGTTTGTTTGAAGAAGGGGACGACATAAGGGGCAAACCAAGGTGTTGAAGGTTACACAGACTCTCTCCTCTCCTCCAGGTCCACATACAGCATCCACACCTTGAGGCTGCGATACACCTTCACTGACAGCTGCAGCGTTGCCCGTCTCAGCAGCTCCCTCGCTCCGTGGAAGTTATGATGCAACACCTCCATCTCCGCCCACTCACACCACGCCTTACCCCCTCATATCCCAACCTCTCCCCTTCATCCCCCAGCCTTCTCACCTTCATCTCTCAACCTTCCCTCTCTCCCTCATCCCCACAGTCCCCCCATCCCCTGTTGTCTTACCTTGTCGCAGCACAGCCACTGACGGCTGCAGCGTTGAGCAACTCCCTCGCCCCGTGGAACTTGTGATGCCGCACCTCCATCTCCGCCCACTCGCACCACACCTTCTCCCCTCCCCCTCATCCCCCAACCTTAACTTCCCCCCATCCCCCAACCTTCTCCCTCAGTCATGCCCCAACTTTCTCTCCCCCATCCCCTCAACCTTCTCCCCTCGGTCATGCCCCAACCCCCAATCTTCTCCCCAACACCGGCTCTCACCTTGCCGCAGCACAGCCACTGACGGCTGCAGCGTTGCTCGCCTCAGCAGCTCCCTCGCCCCGTGGAAGTTATGATGCCGCACCTCCATCTCCGCCCACTCACACCGTCCCTTCTCCCCCCCTCATCCACCAACCTTCTCTCCCCCGTCGTCCCCCAACAATCTCTCCCCCGGAACCCAACCCTCTTCCCCCCAGCCCCCCGACAACCCCAGCAGCTCTCACCTTGTCGCAGCACAGCCACTGAAGGCTGCAGCGTTGCTCGCCTGAGCAGCTCCCTCGAGCCGTGGAAGTTATGATGCCGCACCTCCATCTCCGCCCACTCACACCACACCGCCGCAACGTCCTCCACCGCTTTCAACCGCGCCTGAACCGCCCGCTCCAGCACCCGCCTCGCATTCCCCAAATCCCCATGCTTCTCATACAATTTCGCAAACGCCACCCAGAGCGTGTGCGGCTTCCCAACCGCCTGAAACGGATCTACGGTCTTCACAGCTTCGGTATAGGTCAGGATCTGACGTTCGGGGTTGGTTTGGAAGAGCTTGGCGCGCTTATGCCACTCGTGCACGTTGTGGGGGTTCTGGCGGAGGAGAACCGCGGAGACGAGCTCGGGGCGGCGGTCCATGAGGGCTTCTAAGCGCGCCAAGCGCAGATCCGCGTCTGCTGTTCGGAACATCCAGTCTACTGGCTTCTTCTTCTGCTTCTTTTGCTTCGAAGCTGCTGAGCTGGCTTTTAGCGCGTCTTCCTGCTGCTGCTGCTGCTGCTGATGGAGCTGCTGCAGCTTCAGCAGCTGCTGTTTCGTCAGCTTCTTTCCCTTGGCCTGCCCCTCCTTGTCTGCTTGACCCTCCGCCTGCTGCTGCTCCTGCCCGTCCTCCTCTCTCCTCCCCCCTTCCTCTGCTCCTGCACCCGCCTCCTCCCCCTCCCCCACTCCCTCCTCTTCCTCTTCCTCTTCCCACCACTCCCTTTCCTCCTCTTCCTCCCCCTCTTTCCCCTCTGCTTCCTCCTCCGCCTCCTCCTCCTCTCCAGCAGTGAGCTCTAGTTTAGCCGCCAGCATACTCTCCTCGAATTGCGCCAAGGCGTCAAACACCACGCTGAAATCGCGCACCGTCATAACGCTAGTTAATCCGTCCTCGTACACGTCTCTAGCGCGCTCGAACAGCCCGCGTCGGATGTAATAGTCCGCTAAGGACGTCCATAATCGCCCCACCTCGTGCGAAAATCGCCGGATTCCGCTCCGCAAAATCGCATCCACTTTTAGGGTTCCGCTTCCGCCTATCCCCCCTCCGCCTCCGCTTCCGCTTCCGACTGCTCCGCCTCCCCCCCGGCCTCCCGCGTCCCCGTGCATCACCTCCGCGTGCCGCGTCAGCAGATCGCACAGCTGCAGCCACAGCTGGTGCCGCGTTCTCCCGCGCACCGACACGAATTTCTCGTCGTTTAAAGCCGACGCGAGCCGCTCCGCCGCTTCGCGCCATTCCTGCGCCTCGACTAGGAACTCCACGTACTCCTCCACGCGCAACGGATCGAACCGCAAAAACCGGCGGAATATCCGGCGCGCAGTCTCGATGGGAATGCCAGGCTGGCGCACGAATCTAAGATACGGATCCCAGAGCCTGTCGTGTTGCGTCGCGGGCAGGGATCGAAGCGCGCGGTCGAACGTGCGACGCGCGCGCGTTACTAGCTTCTGGTCGTCTACTAACGCGGATAGGTACTCGAGCCAGATGCGCGGCATGCGGTGCATTGTAACTAATGCGCGCTCGAATGCATTGTTTAAAGCGGCGTGCGCGGCGTGATTCGCGGGAAGCCCGCGGACCGCCGCGCGGCGTTCCTTAAGGTACGCCGCCCATAGCTTGTACGAACCCGGGAGGGCTACTAACGCGCGCTCGTATATTAAGTACCGCTTCCGTGCGGGCGAATCGCGCCGCGCCGCGAGGTACCGCCACCAGAGTTTAAGAGAAAAAGGGTTTCTAAGAATCTCTTCCTCGTAGAGGAGATCTTCTTCGGACGGGAGTAGACCTTGCGGGAGGGACGACATGGCGGAGGACGGCGGAAAAACAGGCGGACGCGGGGTTGCGGGGGAACCGGGCGGAAGCGGGATTCGGGGGAAACAGGCGGAACTGGGGTTGGGGGAGGGAGATCAAGGATTGAGGTAAATCTGCGATGACGGTACGGTAAGGTATGGCGGCAGGACGTGGCGGTCCGGATCCCGCCGGGTCCTGCGGATTCGTGATTTAGAGAAACGGGATGAATATGCGGAAAACTGGAGGCAAATGGTCTGGGGGAATGGACTAGCGGGAAGATTAGGAGATCAAGAGGTTAGACGCATTTTGAGATTTCCGCGGGTTTCTTGCTTTAGTAGCATTTCAGCGGGGTTACATAAAGAGCGAGAATTCCCCAAATACGCCTGCAACAAGACGGACGGGGCCTCGAGATTACCTCTCAAACGACAAGTGCGACACTATCTAGGTGACCTAAACTCCTAATCTGCTGCCTCTCCGCTCATCTAAATGCTGCTGGTTCGAAAAGTCTGCTGGTCTCTCGCCCGGAGGATTGAAGTGATCGCGGAGAAGAACGCGAAAATCCGCGTTAGAAGAGCACTCGCTGGGAAAGCAGTATCCTTACTGGAGAGAAATGAAGGGCACAAACAATAAGATATTTGGAACATCGATTGGTGCAATGGCTCCAAGGGCTAGGAACATTTTTCATCACCTATTGTTACTGTAGCGAATGTATACAGTCCAAGCCAAAGAGACCGCAATGCCTAATGCTCCTACCGCAATACCAGCAAGCAACAAATTATCAACCAACTCCCCCCCCTTTCCTGCAACTCTCCCGCCTGTGGCGTCTGCAGTTGTGGAGTGCACTTCTCCTACCACAGCTGGTGCTGTAACACCACTGCAGGACGAGCTTCCCGTGTTGCAGCACTTGTCCTCTTCTGCAGAAGCCGCAGCAGGAGTATCACCAGAGCAAGCGCAAGCTCCCTCGCTCCCTCCACCACAACACCCATCTGACGCTCCACACATTACTGCCTCCTGATGCTCCTTCGACTTCTGCTCCTGCAGCAATGGTGGTAGTGGTGGCTGCTCTTCAGTCTCAACCTGCTGCTGCTCCTTGCTCTGCTGAGCCTTGTTCAGAATATCTAGGCTTCCAGCAGCAACAGGCGGATACTTCACTGGAGAAGACACCGGCACGCCAATCACAGACCACCGCCCGACTGTGGTGATGCGGACAAACAAGTCCGACCCTAAAAGCGCACTCTTGCCACCACCGGTCGGCTCACTCGCTTTCGCCGCCCGCCCATTGGCTGCTGCAATTTGCCCCAGAGATTTCTCATCCTGATCCAAGGCGTCATCTGATGACACACTGGCTGCTGACGTGTCATCTGGTGGCTTGCCACCTGGCAGCTTATCCAATACCACGTCATCAGGGGGTACAAGCACCTGCACGTAGCTATCTGTGTGGCCGACAAGCTTCGTCTTATCTGCAGCAACATCGGTGATCCAGACCCTCTGGGTGGTTCCAAGAAGGTTCGTGTAGGGAGTGAATGACTCTATGAGGGCGGTGAGTGCTCTGCTGCGCTGCTTCACCTCCCCTGATGGCACCTTCGGCATGCGCGCTGCTGGCGTGCCTGGTAAGGTCAGTAGAAGGGGGACGGGGGTGGGAGGTGGTGGGGTGAAGGGGCAGCAATGGGAGAGAGAGGGTCTTGTGAGTGGATTATTGACTCCAATGCAGCGAAGTTCGTGTAGGGAGTGAAGGACTCTATGAGGGCGGTGAGTGCTCTGCTGCGCTGCTTCACCTCCCCTGATGGCACCTTGGGCATGCGCGCTGCTGGTGTGCCTGAAAGAAAAGAGTAGTGGACAACAGAGTGGGTGTTGTAAGAAAAAGGACCCCGTGGTGGACTCTTAGGTGTGCTGCTTCACCTCCGCTGATGGCACCTTGGGCATGCGCACTGCTGGAGTGCCTGTTGGCGGGTAGGTTATGGGAAGGAGTATTGGATTGGAAGGAGCGTTGGTAGGAACTGGGCTTCCAAGGGCTTTGAAGTGTGCTTGTGGGAAAAACAAATTAAGGGGCCACCAGGGGAGAGCATGTATTGTTCAGAAAAACTGAATCAAGAAGCAGGTGGATGCATTGTTCAGCGTTCACATGTCTGCGCCCAGTATTAATTTCACCCTGGATTCTGTTTGCCACTCAAATCATATGAACCCAAAACAGTTGCACATCCAGGAGCAGTGAATGCACAGATTCGAGCATCAATTGCAGGAAGTGCAGGCTCACCTGGGAAAGGCTACACCTGCAGGGCTCACTCATCCTGAGAAAGGCTACACCTGCAGGGCTCACTCATCCTGGGAAAGGCTACACCTGCAGGGCTCACTCATCCTGGGAAAGGCTACACCTGCAGGGCTCACTCACCTAGGGGAGGCTACACCTGCAGGGCTCACTCACCTAGGGGAGGCTACACCTGCAGGGCTCACTCATCTAGGGGAGGCTACACCTGCAGAGGCAGGGCTTACCTGGGCGGGGGTAGAACTGGGAGATGTGCACTTGAGCGAACTTGTACTTGCGAATCAAATCCATTGTCTGCTGAAAGTCAGCTGCCGTCTCTCCTGCCATGGTGGGGTCGGTGGGGTGGGGTGGGGTGGGGTGGGGTGGGGGTGGGGGTGGGGTTGGGGTGGAGTGGGGTGTGGTGGGGTAAGAGAGGCGTGGAGTGTGGTATAGTGGGATCTGGGTATCTGATTCATGGACTGCTCAAAACCTGCTGTGGTCTCGCCTGCCATGCCATAGGTAGGTGGAATGGGGTGGGATAGGGTAGGGATGGAGTGCATGCGGTGCAGAGGAACGCGGTCAGACACGCTTCTCCTCAAGACACGGCTACGAGGCAATCAATCTCCAAAACAGGCACGAGGCCCATGAGAGTGCCCCCCCACATGGCAGAAGTTCGAGAGGTGACTAAAACAATACCTGGGAAGGAAGCCACATATGATGTCGGTAGTGATCTCCGATCGCTTCCTGGCGTGTTATAACATAACTCGAGTTCAGAGAAAGTCCCTCACACACCCCATATGTTTGTGGTGGAAAAGGTTCTAAACCACATATCTGGGAAGCCACAGATGACGTCAGCTGCAATCTCCAAGCCAGGCACAAGCCCCATAAGTGTGTCCACCACCCGGCAAAACGCTGAGTAACTTCAATTCTACCTGGGAAGCCGATGTCAGTGGCGATTTCCAAGCCAGGCACAAGGCCCATAAGCGTGTCCACCACCCGGCAGAACTCCTCCACCGTATACTCTCTCTTCATGCCCTCCATCACACTAATGTTTGCTGCACAGAACTCGGGATAACCCACCTGGGAATCCACAGATGATGTCAGTTGCAATCTCCAAGCCAGGCACGAGGCCCATAAGTGTGTCCACCACTTGGCAGAACTCCTCCACCGTGTACTCCCTCCTCATGCCCTCCAGCACGCTGTTGCTGCCCCACTGCACCAATACAAATGGCCCTGAACCTCGACCCAACCCCCCTAGGCTCGTGGAGGCTTTCTCAACAACCAAGGCAACCAAACCCCTATGCAGGAGGTGATCACGTACCTGGGAAGCCACAGATGATGTCGGTGGCGATCTCCAAGCCAGGCACAAGCGCCATAAGCGTGTCCACCACCCGGCAAAACTCCTCCACTGTATACTCCCTCTTCATCCCCTCCAGCACTGGAACACACGGCACTCGACACCTGGAGCAGCCAAACCCCTATGCCTGTGGTGACAGAGGTTCAGAACCTTACACACCTGGGAAGCCACAGATGATGTCAGTTGCAATCTCCAGGCCAGGCACGAGGGCCATAAGCGTGTCCACCACGCGGCAAAACTCCTCCACTGTATACTCCCTCTTCATGCCCTCCAGCACGCTGTTGCTGCCCGACTGCACGGGCAGGTGCAGAAACTTGTAAACGCAGGCGTGGTTGAGGATTTTCGCAATCTCGGGCAGGTGTTCGAGAATGTAGGGCGGGTTGGTCATGCCGACTCGCAGCATGCAGCGGCCGTCGGGGGGAAGGGAGGCCACGAGGGCGGAGAGGAGGGAGGGCAGGTCGCTGCCGATGTCACGGCCGTAGGCGCCCGTGTCCTCGCTGCTCAGCCAGATCTCCCTCACGCCCTCTGCTACTGCTGCTCGCACCCTGTCCACCTGGATGAGGTGGGGGGGAAGGAAGTGAAGTGACAAGATATGTTATCATAGGCCCCCATGACCTTGTTTTTTTGCCAGATCTCCCTCACGCCCTCTGCTACAGCTGCCCACAACCCTGTCCGCCTGTAAGGGGAAGGGGGGTGGCAAGAGCGAAGGGAGCGTGTGGGTTCCTAGTTCCAACTCATGGACCCACATGTAAGGACGTAGGCGCCTGTGGCCTAGATGCTCAGCCAGATTCCAGCAAGCCCTCTGCTACCGCTACCCTCACCCTGTCCACCTGGAGGGAGATCAAACGTATCAGCACATTCAAAGGGTAGGAGCTGGCATGCTTCATCTCGCAATACGCACACGCGCCCAGGCAGCCCATGCTTCATGAACTGAGTCGCCTAAGGAATAGGCTCGAGCGTGTGGAAGAACATCCACTTACCAGCACAGGCAGAGGGTAGGAGCCGAGGTGGCCTCTGGCGTGCTTCGTCTTGCAGTAGGTGCATGCACCCAGGCAGCCCACACTGATGGGCACGATCTCCACCCACTTGTTGCGCCGCACCTGGTGGCGTGTGTGGGATGTGGAGGGGGAAAGGGGAGGAGGTGGGTGGGTGAGTGGCGTTGAGTTGAGGCGTCTCATAAACCGTCCCCACCACGCAGGAGGAGAAAGAAACGTTGGCGGTTCAGAACACTTTACTCCACCTTAGGCAGGTCCAGAGCAGGGAATGCCCGGTTGCGGGGGGGGGAGCAGGCGGACGGTGTTGCCTTTGAGGGTTCTCTAGTTTCCAGTCCGTCTCATAGAGAGAGAGAGAAAGTGACAGACAGACATGCTACCTTGGGAAGGTCAAGTGCTGGAAGGGCGCGGTTGCGGGAGAGAAGGCAGATGGTGTTGCCCTTGAGCGTCTCCTCCACCACCTCCACCACGCGGTCGATTGGTCTTACAGTTGGTTGGAACTTGGAGTCCGTGTTGGGGAGAGAGAAAGTGACAGACAGTCTATCTTGGGCAGGTCGAGCGCAGGGAGAGCGCGATTGCGGGAGAGAAGGCGGACGGTGTGTGTGTTGGGGAGAGAGAAAGTGAAAAAGAGTTTACCTTGGGAAGGTCTAGCGTGGGGAGAGCGCGGTTGCGGGAGAGGAGGCGGACGGTGTTGCCCTTGAGCGTCTCCTCCACCACCTCCACCACGCGGTCGATCTGCTGCACCCCCACCACGCTCACGCCCTCTCCCTCCGCCACCCCACTGTCGCCCTGACAATGAGAGGTGGAGAAGCCGAGGATAGCAGGAAGCAGGGGCGAGGGAAGGGGGGAAGGCAGGGGAGGAAGCAGACAAAAAAAAAAAAAGACAAAAAAAAAAAAATTTAAGGGAAGGGTGTGTCTCCTCCACCACCTCCACCACGCGGTCGATCTGCTGCACCCCCACCACACTCACGCCCTCTCCCTCCGCCACCCCACTGTCGCCCTGATATGGAGTGGTGAGAGGACGGGTGGACGAGTGGAATGAGTTGTGTTTTGAGTCGACTCAAAACACTGACGCCCTGATATGGAGTGGTGTGAGGAAGGGTGGACGAGTGGAATGAGTTGTGTTTTGAGTCAACTCAAAACACTGTCGCCCTGATATGGAGTGGTGTGAGGAAGGGTGGACGAGTGGAATGAGTTGTGTTTTGAGTCGACTCAAAACACTGTCGCCCTGATATGGAGTGGTGTGAGGACGGGTGGACGAGTGGAATGAGTTGTGTTTTGAGTCGACTCAAAACACTGTCGCCCTGATATGGAGTGGTGTGAGGACGGGTGGACGAGTGGAATGAGTTGTGTTTTGAGTCGACTCAAAACACTGTCGCCCTGATATGGAGTGGTGTGAGGACGGGTGGACGAGTGGAATGAGTTGTGTTTTGAGTCGACTCAAAACACTGTCGCCCTGATATGGAGTGGTGTGAGGACGGGTGGACGAGTGGAATGAGTTGTGTGTTGAGTCGACTCAAAACACTGTCGCCCTGATATGGAGTGGTGTGAGGACGGGTGGACGAGTGGAATGAGTTGTGTTTTGAGTCGACTCAAAACACTGTCGCCCTAATATGGAGTGGTGTGAGGACGGGTGGACTGTTAAAATATATATTGTGTAGCATGCCAACACATGTGACTGTACACCAATTGTGGTGCACAGTTGGGTTGGGACTACACCCAACTTTGGGTGTAGTCTTGCACTTTGGGGTGCCAATCCACCCAATTGTGGTGGAGCCCCCAAATGCAACCCTCTTGACTTGTGGGTACCTCACTTCCCACAATTGAGGTTACCCCAAGCCAAGTGGGCCTAGGGTTGCCTCACTTCTACAAAGTGTGGGCAACCCAACCCACTTGACCTATGGTTCCCTCACTTCCCCAAGTGAGGTCAACCCAACCTATGGTCACTTTCATCCTTCCCTTCCAACCTTCCCTTCCAACCATGTATGCTAGGTTGTTCCTCTAATCGAATTACTTGTTCAATTCACAATCTTCACATGGACGAGTGGAATGAGTTGTGTTTTGAGTCGACTCAAAACACTGTCACCCTGATATGGAGTGGTGTGAGGACGGGTGGACGAGTGGAATGAGTTGTGTGTTGAGTCGACTCAAAACACTGTCGCCCTGATATGGAGTGGTGTGAGGACGGGTGGACGAGTGGAATGAGTTGTGTGTTGAGTCGACTCAAAACACTGTCGCCCTGATATGGAGTGGTGTGAGGACGGGTGGACGAGTGGAATGAGTTGTGTGTTGAGTCGACTCAAAACACTGTCGCCCTGATATGGAGTGGTGTGAGGACGGGTGGACGAGTGGAATGAGTTGTGTGTTGAGTCGACTCAAAACACTGTCGCCCTGATATGGAGTGGTGTGAGGACGGGTGGACGAGTGGAATGAGTCGTGTTTTGAGTCGACTCAAAACACTGTCGCCCTGATATGGAGTGGTGTGAGGACGGGTGGACGAGTGGTAGAAGATGAAGGGGAGGATGAAGGGGAGGAGGGAGGGGAGGAGGCACAAGACATAAGGCAGACACCTGGGGCACCCACCTGAGGCACCCACCTGAGGCACCCACCTGAGGCACGCAGCCTGCAAGCACGAGTCTTTTGCTCAGCTCCCTGCCCTTGCGGATGAGTGTGTCCATGGCTGACTGAGACGGGTTCTTCACCGTGCACCTGGTGTGGGAGGGTGGGGGGGGGAAGGGGGGAGAGAAGAAGGGGAGCCCAAGCGAATCAAAGATATGCCTGAGGGGATGGGGACAAAAGAGGGGTCAAGGAGTTGACACAAGGGGGATCAAGGCGGATGGACCAAGAGAAGGGAGGTCAAGGGCAATAGGTGGGTCCGCCTCAGATGGCACCTCCATCAGCGAGTAACCATATTTGGGAAAGAAACGTTTCAAAGGCCCTCCCCTCCAATCCAACCCGCCCATCCAACTCGCACTCACGTGTTGATGATCCACAGGTCCGCCTCGGATGGCACCTCCACCAGCTGGTACCCAAACGCCGCCAATTGTCCTGCCATGTACTCACTGTCGCTCTGCCATGAGGGGGGGGGGAGGTGGGTGGGGGGGGGGGGGGGGGGGGAGGGAGTGAGGAGGAGAAGAGGGAGAGAAGAGGTGGGGGGCACAAGTGGTGTGGGGAGGACAGAAAAGGAAAGGACAGGATTGGAGGGGTGGGAAGGGAGCCAGCCAAGCACTCCGTGCCTCTATGCCAGCCGTGGCAAAGAGGGTAGGATGAAAGAGTTCAGGGCTCAAGAACGGTTAACAAATAATGGAAGAACAGATGGCGGGGAACAAGGATTGCAGGCCCCATGTCGAAGACTCGAAGGTTAGGTAGAGGTAGCAGAATATCACAGTGCATATTGCACAGCACAGCAGACTTTTGAAAAGGATCCTAGAAGCTACTGTAAGGATTCAGAAAAGTACCATGTTGTGAGAGCAACCGAAAGTCTTGATATATATTGACTGCAGACGAGGGAGCAGGATCAAAGCAGCGGCCAAGCAGGATAATAGAGGCGGAAAGGCTTCACGGTTGGGTGGGTGAGTCCAGTAAGTGCAGAAACTACAGTGAATTCAGTAGGAAATCGTGAATGAGAGATACTGATACACGACCGTTCAGCAATCATCACGCTGAATAGGGGTGGAAAAACGCGAGGTTCGTATACATGTGACCGCAAAATACTTCCTCGACAGTGAGTTATTGGATTTGAAAGATCCTCATCCTCGTTATAAGCATACCTGCGTTCCAGGAACAGAGGTCGGAGCACCTTCATCTTCTCCATTGATCCCATTACGATGCTCTTCCAACCCATTCGCTGCGTTATCTCCGACACGAACAGTTCCAATGCCAGCTTCTGTCTCCAAAACCCTCGATTCGCTGTCTACTGCTTCGCCAGCCTGCTTCAACCCATTGTCAAGGTTACCGTTATTGTTATCGTTACCGTTACCGTCAATGCGAACTGCGGATGACTTCTTCGGCCGTCGCCTAACAGCAGGCCGGCCGCCTCCTACTTCAGGAAGGGGTGCTTGCGAATTAACGGTTGAGATCTCCCCGTTCAAACCGTTTACGGCGATTTTGCCGCCTTGGTTACGACCTAATCCGGTTCGCCTGTCCTCGTCAAAATGGTGGTTACCCGATGCCAGGTCCTCGATGTCTACCATCGTGACGTCGTCGAAGCAGTTAGGAGCTTCGATCAGGCACACAAACCAACTCAAATTAACTCATCAACGAAGCACACAACTCGAAGTACCTGAGTGGTATTCCCAAGGTTCATCCTTTCTGGTGTGATTTCTCGTGCATTTCAAAATAGCACATTGCGACGCCAGTACACTATAGTTTTGCGTTGTGAGAACCTTATAGCTGTACATGGGTTCATATTGAGATGAACAAAATTGGATAGAAAACAAAAGCATTCAACTGCTGAATCATGTAAAACCACAATTCATAAACAGGAAGAAATGTGCAAATGATCGTGCTATTTGAGCCAGGATTTGCATTGCCATCTATTATGGTATATTAAAATATGCATTAAAAAAAGGTGAAAACATAGTCTACTGCTGAACTAGATCCATATCTGCAAAAGAAACGATTTTCTCCAATAAATTATCTCGGAGATGATACAATACCCCTTAGATTCGGCATTCCCCAAAATTGCAGCAATCGGCATGTCATATTAGGCCGTCAGAAGCACCACTACGAAAACCTTCGCGATTGACGGTCGTGGCTGCTGAGATTGGCAATCCGACTGTGTGTTCAGACGGGCGTTATTCGGTTGAATTCGGCTTCCAGCTTTTTTTCTTGAAATTTTGGTGGAAAAGGCATCACTGAACAGGCTTCAATCTACTGAGGCGTTATTCGGCCACGTGGCAGCGATGGCTGACAGCACCCCGCCAGCTGACGTGGCTCCCGGAGGTGGAAGCGGCGCGGAGGAGACGCGCAGCAAGAAATGGCTGCCGCTGGAATCGAATCCGGAAGTGATGAACGACGTGAGGGGATGAGCGACGTGCGACGTGAGACGATGAGCGAGGAGCGTCGTGAGGCGATGAGTGACGTGAGACGAAGAACGACGTGAGACATGTGCCGCTGCTGATTTCTTGGCGGCTCTTAAACAAACCCATCTCCCATGATCCCATCTCGCTTCCCCTTCCCCCTACCCTGCTGTGTTTACACCAACCGTTACCCACCAACCGCAGTGCGCAAGGTGGCTTTCCCCCTCTGCCGCTCCATCATAACCCATCCCTCCTTCCTCTTCCCCCTTCCCCGTCCCCCTACCCCACCCTGCGCACCAGTTCGTGCGCAAGGTTGGCTTTCCCCCGACAGCCGGCTTCCACGACATGTTTGGGCTGAACGCGAATTTGCTCGCCATCGTGCCTCAGACCGTGCTTATACGGGCCTCATGACTTGTTTCGAGGCGCTCCATACGTCGTTTTTTTATCCCTCAAAGTCGTCCTGTTCCTCCCCTCCCCCGGCCCCCCTATACCTGCCAGTTTGTGCGCAAGGTGGGCTTTCCGCCTACAGCCGGTTTCCACGATGTCTTTGGGCTGGACACGGATCTACTCGCCATGGTGCCTCAACCGGTGCTCGCGCTGCTTTTCCTCTTCCTGCTGCCGCCCGAGGTACTGAATGTCACCTTCTGCTGTTCCTTCACAGCGCCGTGCCTGCTGCCAGCTTGCTGCTCGTTCACCCCGTGCTCGCACTGCTCTTCCTCTTCCTGCTCCCTCCCGAGGTACTTCCTGTCTAACAATCAAAGGGTATTGTGTGCTTTGACGTCTTAGAATAAAAGACTGCGGCTCGATCCCTCGTTTCCACTGCCCGCTAGCAAACTCTCCTGCTTAACGCTCCCCATGGTGCTGTGCTCTGCTGCCACCTTCCTTGTTTTTCCTGTGCAGGAGCGGTCCAAAGAGCCGGAGCAGCAAGAGAAGGTTCCCGAGCAAGCAACTCCCTCTGCTGAAGTACGTCCTGCTGGCCTGCATCGTCTGCTTTTTATTCTCGAGAATCTTCAAAACTCAGGCAAATCCTCCTGCTGGTGTAAGTCCTCCTGGCCTGCACCTTTTTTTCTTTTCTTTTCTTTTTTCTTTTTTTTTTTCCCAGCAGGAGGTACGTTAGCTGAAAGAGTTGCATGCTCCTGGCCTGTGCGCTGATTGTTCTTTAGCACCTCAAAGCCCGAGCATGCAACTCTTTCAGCTGACCCAAGTCCTGCTGGCCTGCGTCCGTTTTATTTTGGCTCCCTAGAACCCCAGCGTGCGACTCCCGCTGTGGACTGAAGTCCTGATTCGCCTCAGTCATTCCCAATGTCAAACCTTTCTCTCTCCCTGCCAGCTCTCCATCTCTTTATCGCCTTCCCTTTATTCTTCCCACCTTTGTTTTCTGCCTCCCTTGCCACCCCCCACCAGGCTGCACAGCCGTTCTTTGTGCGGCAGACCATAGACAATGCGTGCGGCACGACCATTCCCCTTCCCTCCCCTACAATACATCCCTCCCTTTTTTTCCCCACCTTGCCTTCCTCCCACCAGGCGGCACAGCCATTCTTTGTGCGGCAGACCATAGACAATGCGTGCGGCACAATCGCGCTCCTACACGCCATCGGCAACAACCAACACCAGCTCACTCTTGGTACTACCTATTCCTGCTTCCACCCCTTGCTTCAACTCGCTCGTCCTACCTTGCTTGGCCCTATCTCACCCTTGGTACTCACGGATGCTCGACGATTTTGATTTTGCACCCGTCTGCTCCTGCCTGCCTTCCTGCCTGCCTTCCTGCCTGCCGCTCCCTATGCCCAACAAAATGGTGGTCTTTTTTCCAGCAGTTCAATCTATCATGTGCCTAAAATATATATTTTACGGAAGCACAGCGATTTAAATCTTGCACCCTCTGCTCCTGCCTGCCGCTCCCTGTGTCCAACAGAAAAGGGCTCTTTCCTCCAGCAGTTCTTTGAAAATACCAAAGACATGACACCTGAAGATGTGAGTGTGACATGCGATGCGCGGCATGCCATGCGTGTGAGCGCGTGGCATGCCATGCCTGCTCCTGCCTGCCATTCACTGTGTCCAACAGAAAAGGGCTCTTTCCTCCAGCAGTTCTTTGAAAATACCAAAGACATGACACCTGAAGATGTAAGTGCATTGCACTCGAGCATGTGAGTGCATGGCCTATGGGCATGCGAGTGCATGGCATGCTGAGTGCAAGGGCACGCAAGTGCATGGCATAAGGCCGTATGGCATTGTGGATTGCTCCTTGCTACATTCTCCTCTCTCTTAGTGTCCCTTTATCCCTCCTCCCTTTTTACCCTGTTTCTTCTTTCCTTCGCCCAATTTTCCATCGTTCCAATCTCCCCACCACCCACCGAGCAGCCTATATGGAGGCAGACACGTTGCTGGAATTCACACACAGATGCAGTTTTGGCTCGTCACAGCACTCTCCCCTGTCCTAAACTCCCATTCCCCATTCTCCCCTCTCTCTCAGCGAGCAGCCTATCTGGAGGCGGACACGTTGCTGGAGAAGGCACACACAGATGCACCTTTGAGACACTTCAACACTCTCCCATTTCCCCCATTCCCATACCCCAATCTCCCTACCTCTCAGCGAGCAGCCTATCTGGAGGCGGACACGTTGCTGGAGAAGGCACACACAGATGCAGCAGAGGCAGGCGACACTCGGGTGGGTTCTCTTCACCTGTTTTAAGGCGCCTCAGAATGTTCTACTTGCATCAATAAGCAGGGGATATGAACCTGTGTCTGTGCCATGAAAGACGGAAGGCACTGGGCCTTCCAGTCTGGGAGGGACATCGTAAAGCATGAATGCATGTTCTCTCAACGTGCATTGTAAAGCTTGGGAGTTTCCGTGTTTGCTTACAAGCCATCATTTAACTCACAAGCCTCAACTCGCAGTGCCTCTCTTCAATTGGTCATCGCCGTTCCCCGATGACTCCATTGTTCAATGTGCCGTGACTCCATTGTTCAATGTGCCGTGACTCCATTGTTCAATGTGCCGTGACTCCATTTCCCTGTTGTTCCTCTTCCCCGCCCCCTGTTGCTCCTCTTTTGCTCCACTTCCCCGCCTCTCCTTGCTTGGCAGCCCCCGAGTCTCCATGAGTGTGTGGATCTGCATTTTGTCGCTTTGGTCACGTCTGGAGGTCCGTATTTCACTTGCACTCACAAGTCAAATTCGCATGGGTTTGCAATTTCATTCTTTCCCTGTGTTGCAGCAGGAGTAACCTGCATGGAGCTAAATGTGTTCTTTATTGTGTTATACATTCTATGGTCCATGTAAATCAAACTTGGCTTTTAGTCAGCGTTACAACTAGTAGAGTATACATTCTATGGTCCAAGTTAATCAGCCTTGATGTGTCAATCACATTACAATCCATCGATCCCATCCGCTCCATTCCATCGTTCCACTCCTTTCAGGTCGCCTGTACGAGCTAGACGGCCGCAAGCCAAAGTTAATCAGCCTTGATGTGTCAAATTACTATCCATCGATCCCATCCGCTCTATTCCATCGTTCCACTCCTTTCAGGACGCCTGTACGAGCTAGACGGCCGCAAGCCAAAGTTAATCAGCCTTGATGTGTCAAATTACAATCCATCGATCCCATCCGCTCCATTCCATCGTTCCACTCCTTTCAGGTCGCCTGTACGAGCTAGACGGCCGCAAGCCAAAGTTAATCAGCCTTGATGTGTCAAATTACAATCCATCGATCCCATCCGCTCCATTCCATCGTTCCACTCCTTTCAGGTCGCCTGTACGAGCTAGACAGCCGCAAGCCAAAGTTAATCAGCCTTGATGTGTCAAATTACAATCCATCGATCCCATCCGCTCCATTCCATCGTTCCACTCCTTTCAGGTCGCCTGTACGAGCTAGACGGCCGCAAGCCAAAGTTAATCAGCCTTGATGTGTCAAATTACAATCCATCGATCCCATCCGCTCCATTCCATCGTTCCACTCCTTTCAGGTCGCCTGTACGAGCTAGACGGCCGCAAGCCAAAGTTAATCAGCCTTGATGTGTCAAATTACAATCCATCGATCGCATCCGCTCCATTCCATCGTTCCACTCCTTTCAGGTCGCCTGTACGAGCTAGACGGCCGCAAGCCAAAGTTAATCAGCCTTGATGTGTCAAATTACAATCCATCGATCCCATCCGCTCCATTCCATCGTTCCACTCCTTTCAGGTCGCCTGTACGAGCTAGACGGCCGCAAGCCAAAGTTAATCAGCCTTGATGTGTCAAATTACAATCCATCGATCCCATCCGCTCCATTCCATCGTTCCACTCCTTTCAGGTCGCCTGTACGAGCTAGACGGCCGCAAGCCAAAGTTAATCAGCCTTGATGTGTCAAATTACTATCCATCGATCCCATCCGCTCTATTCCATCGTTCCACTCCTTTCAGGTCGCCTGTACGAGCTAGACGGCCGCAAGCCAAAGTTAATCAGCCTTGATGTGTCAAATTACAATCCATCGATCCCATCCGCTCCATTCCATCGTTCCACTCCTTTCAGGTCGCCTGTACGAGCTAGACGGCCGCAAGCCAAAGTTAATCAGCCTTGATGTGTCAAATTACAATCCATCGATCCCATCCGCTCCATTCCATCGTTCCACTCCTTTCAGGTCGCCTGTACGAGCTAGACAGCCGCAAGCCAAAGTTAATCAGCCTTGATGTGTCAAATTACAATCCATCGATCCCATCCGCTCCATTCCATCGTTCCACTCCTTTCAGGTCGCCTGTACGAGCTAGACGGCCGCAAGCCAAAGTTAATCAGCCTTGATGTGTCAAATTACAATCCATCGATCCCATCCGCTCCATTCCATCGTTCCACTCCTTTCAGGTCGCCTGTACGAGCTAGACGGCCGCAAGCCAAAGTTAATCAGCCTTGATGTGTCAAATTACAATCCATCGATCCCATCCGCTCTATTCCATCGTTCCACTCCTTTCAGGTCGCCTGTACGAGCTAGACGGCCGCAAGCCAAAGCCCATCGACCACGGCCCTTCGTCGCCTGATACCCTGCTGCAGGTTGGTAATGTTCCCATGATACCCTGCTGCAAGTGGGTATTTTCCCATGATAACCTGCTGCAGGTGGGTTTCGTTTCCATGCTATCCTGTTGCAGGTAGGCTATTTTCCCATGTTACGCTGCTACAGGTGGCTTATGTTCCCATGATACCCTGCTGCAGGTGGGTTATGTTCCCATGACACCCTGCTACAGGTGGGTTACGTTCCCATGATACCCTGCAGGGTTATGTTCCCAGCTTCAGGTGGGATGTATTCCCATGATTCCCTGCAAGAGGTGAGTCACCTTTCTCTGCAGGTGTGTTATTTCCTTGTGATACCCTGCTGCAGCTGGGTAGATTTGACTGCGTTCCCACATGCGTTGTAACATCCGTTCTACTTTTGTTTCATCCTGTTTGCCCTCCTTGCTTGCTTCGCACATAGCAGGATGCGGCGGGGGTGATGCAGCAGGTGATTGCAGCGAGCCCCAGCTCGTTGAGGTTCGACACGTGTCGGGACGGGACATGGTTGTCATCCGTGGCATTCATCCCTTCTTTTTGTCCTGTTTGCACTCTTTTGCACTCCTTGCTTGCTCTGAGCATGGCAGGATGCGGCGCGGGTGATGCAGCAGGTGATTGCAGCGAGCCCCAACTCCCTGCAGTTCAATGTCATTGCCATGAGCCTCGTGCCGCCCGAATCCTGACTACTGAGTGGAGCGTCGTCATCAGCTTTAGGGTTAAGCTTTGCTAGCTAGGGAATATGTGATGTACCTTAGAAAATTGCAGCGAGCCCCAGCTCGTTGCAATTCAACGCCATTGCCATGAGCCCTGTGCCGCCCAAGTCCTGACTCCTGCGTGAAGCTTCGCCGACAGCTTAGAGGCATTTTTAGATGCACAGAAGAGTGAATGTAAAATGCTTGAGATAATAAAAACATGCAAATACGGGAATATAAATAAGAGTACAAGGGAATACCAATCGACCTAGGCTAGCCATGTACTCTAAGGGGTACAGTCCCTTATTGAAGCGAAACCCAACCGTGCGACTCCAGACGGTTACGAAACTGTCTGGGCAGAATCCTCTCCACTGTTGCTGTCTGATGCTGTCTGCCCGACGATCCAGATCCTTTCGTAACCGTACGACCTTCGCGTCACTTCCGCCTTTTCATCTTCAGCCTCGGTATCGTGTGCTTCGATTGCTGCGGTAAGGAGTGCACAGTAATGCTTCTTCAATTACTATTCGTAACACCCCCTTCACTCCTGGCCGTAGCGAGTCTTGACCCGCTTGACTACTCCGATGAGTTCGGAGCAGTGCTGATACTGCTGACGTGACAGTCGCTTCGTGAGAAAGTCGGCTGCCATGTCACCCGTCGGGCAATAGGTTAGGTCAACCTTGCCCTTGTCAACTTCGTCCTTGACGAAGAACTACCGCAGCGCGATGTGCTTGGTGCGGTTGACGAATCCAGGCTTGTTCGCGATCCTGATCGCGCTTTGGTTGTCACAGTGCAGGCGAAGGTTCGCCGAGGCTGGAATTTTCGCCTCCTGCAGCAGCTCCTGAAGGTAGAGGCCTTCGCGAACGGCCTTTGCTGACGACAGGGCAACCAGCTCCTGTTTCTGTGAATTCCAAGAGATGGGGCCGCTGGGCTCGAGGCGAAAAGGGAAGCATGTCCTGGACCGTCGATTGTCGGGGTCAGCGGCATGATCAGCGTCCACGTAGCCAATGAGGTTGAAGGTCGCGATTGGGATGGTGGAGTAGCAGAGCCCAACATTGGGCGTGGAGATGAAGAACTGGAGTGCCCGCTGAAGATCTAGCAGATTCTCAGCCGTTGGTTTGCGGGAGTATTGAGCCAACTGGCTCGCGATATAGGAGAGCTCGGGCCTACAGGTAACGGAGGCGAAGAGCAGGCATCCCAGCTGCTGCTGGTAGGTCTGAAGCCCAGCGGGGGACAGGGTTTTGTTGTCAGGCTTGTGGTTGGGTCCTGGAGTGCGGTAAGGGGTGGAGAGTGGTGCAGGTGCAATGTTGAAGCGCTTGCCAAGTTCCTCTGCGTACTTGGCTGCTGAGAGATGAATGGCTTCTGGCGAGTGGGAGATGTTGAGGCCGAGAAACTGCTTCACGTCATGGTTGCAGGTGATATCGACGCGCCCCGCGAGATTCTTCTCGAACTGCTCAAGCAACTCGTTGCTTGACCCTGTGTAGAGGAGGTCGTCGACGTAGACCGTGAGCAGGATGTATTCGCCGCGGAAATCGCGGCGATACATGCCGGGGTCGTGAGGCAGCTGCTTGAAGCCTATCTCGAGCAGGATGTTGTGCAGGTACTGCTGCCAGAGCCTTGGCGCTTGTTTGATCCCGTAAAGGGACTTTCGTAGCTGGCACACACGTGAGTCTCCTTCGCCGTATGTGTGCGGTTGCTCCACGTAGATTACAGCATCTACTAACGCGTAGAGAAACGCGTTCTTCACGTCGATCTGTCGGAGCGGCAGGTGTCGTGCAGCAGCAATGGCGAGAAGGATTATGACGGAGGTGTGATGGCTGACTGGCGCAAACGTTTGGTCGAAGTCGATGCAGTGCCTCTGGTCGTTGCCACGTATGACCCAGCGCGCCTTAAATCGCTCAATCGTGCCGTCTGCTGCGATCTTCACGCGGAAGACCCATTTCCCTGAAAGAATCCTCCTTCCCTTGATTGCTGCTCGATCGACGAGCA